CAAAACTCAGTTCTATGTGATTTGGTCGGATCGATTACGGGTTAACGTTGTTGTGTTTGTTCGTGTTTAGTCGGAAAGGTTGATGGAGGATTTCACTGAGCTTGCTCGAGAGAACACTGAGAAAGACCTCGAGACTTGTGGGACTCTCGCTGCCTTCCTTGTAAGATAACTTTGCTATTATCAATTACTCTTAGACGATTCATGAGTTTTGAAATTTACTTAAAAGGAAATGTTTTTGATGGACCTGATATTATATATCTGTCTATTATGCTGTGAAACTTAATCTGTGTTCAAGTGATGCTTTTGTTGATAGGGTTAAACCTTGTTTAATGTTCATGATTCATTGTTTCTTTGCTTCTCTGCCTCAAGATTCTTCCTTTTTTTGGGAGTCTCAAGGGCCTGATATGCTAATCGCTTTTGCATTTATGTTCATAATTTTAGGAAAGAGGAGTTTTTTATGTGACCACTCTGATAATACCTAAGCAAGAATCAACTGCTAATTCAGTGAGTAATCTTGGAAAAAATTTCTCGATCATTTCGAGGTGTTTGATGTTAAATTGGCTGCTAACTCCGTGCTGAAAAATGGCAGTGTCAAGCTATGAATGAAGTGGAAGTGTTTTCCATACAAAATGAAAGAGAACTTTATCCTGTAGGATGGATTCATGTATATATCTCTTCTTCCTCCATGTTTTGAGATGTTAAGTTGATCTGTTTATCTGCTTTGGATTGACTTACTATAATGAGTTTATGCGTCTTTTACAGACTCATCCTTCTCAGGGCTGTTTCATGTCATCGGTAGATTTGCATACACATTACTCATATCAGGTACTCGAGTTTCTGAGTAATAAAATTCTAGAACTCTTAAACTTCCGACATGAATCATATGTATCCAAATTCACCCTCTGGCAGACAAATGCAAGAAATATGTGGTTAAGATTTATGCTATTTGTTCCCCTGCATTTCATATGTGGAAGGCTTAAGACAATTCAATTCTTAGTTTTTATACCATGTTCTTGTTAGGTAATGGTACCAGAGGCTTTTGCAATCGTCGTGGCTCCAACGGATAGCTCTAGGTATGTGCTTTCAATGGTATTGTAACCTGTTACCATGGAGTCAATTAACAGTTAACTTATTTCATTGATGGTTTCTCAAACCCTTTTTTTTGCAGGAGTTACGGGATATTTAAGCTAACAGACCCGGGAGGAATGGAGGTATTGAGAGGCTGCTCAGAGACTGGATTCCACCAGCACGACGAACCAGAAGATGGGAACCCGGTTTATGAGCATTGCTCAAATGTCTACAAGAACTCGAACCTTAGGTTTGAGATTTTTGATCTGCGCTAAGGTAACGACCCTTCCATGGCCTTGTCAGTAAAAAGGTTCAAGCTTTATCTACTGTGTGCTAAGGATGTCAATAACATAACCATAACCCTAACCGGAACTGTATACTTAGTCTGAGAAGGCTGTCGGATTCGGGTTATGAACACAAATCACCTCCCATTTGGTATTTGGTTCTATTATGGAAGAACACTTCAACAATTACAATACAGAATGTAATGGCG